AAAAAAAAAAAAAAAAAAAAAAAAAAAAAAAAAAAAAAAAAAAAAAAAAAAAAAAAAAAGAAGCTACTATTTCTGACCAAGAATGAAAGACTTCTCTCTCACAGCTATAATATTTAATACGCATACAAAACCTGCCTCTTTACCCACCGTCTCCGCCTCTTTCTGCCACATAAATTCCCCTCCTCCACCGTCTCTCACCGGCCACCGTCGCCACCACCAGCACCAATTCTCCTCCTCCTCCTCCTCCTCCGTCGTAGAGCTGCTTTCATGACAGCGGCGCCGCCATTCAAAGAGCCAACACAAATTTTCTACAAACAAGCATCACCCAGATGAAATAATGGCTAAGGGTTTCTGTGATTTACGACTTACTTGATGGTTCGCTACTCCAACATGGCTGTCTTGTTCCTTTGGACACTATCCCTTTTGGTGCTACCTCTACTCCTTCCGCCGCTACCGCCGCCACCTATGCCGGTCCTCTTGGTACCCCTCTTCATTATGATGCTTCTTATCTTCTTCGCCTTGTCGACCTCTCCACTTCCGATCCCACATCAATAGGAGAGTAGAACAGAACATTTTTTATAAGAGCGTGAATATCTCTTCTTAGCAGGTGTGTTTTAAAAACTTTGAGGGGAAGCTTGAAAGGGGAAGTTCAAAGAGGACGATAACGGCTAGCGGTGAGCTTGGGCCGTTACATCCGATCACTACAGTCATGTCCGGAAGTTGTTGTGGGCTTGGACCGTTACATCCGACTACTATAGTCATGTCTGGAAGCTGTTGATGACATCATTGTATAGAACATCGAACCTATCCATGTCTCTAACAATGATATGATATAGTCTACTTTAGATCTGACCTCATGATTTTGGCTAGTACAAATGAAGATGTATTTGGTGGATCTTCCGTGGTCTAGAAATCAGGTAAAACAATTTAATTTTGTGAGCTTTGTTGAATATTTGTGGTGGGCTTGAACCGTTACATCCGACCAACTACAGTTATGTCTGGAAGCTGTTGTGGGCTTGTACCATTACATCCGACTACTATAGTCATGTCTGGAAGTTGTTGACGATATCATTGTATAGAACATCGAGACTGTCCATGTCTTTAACGATGATATGATATATAGTTTACTTCAGATCTGATCTCGTGATGTTGACTTGTACAAATGAAGATGTGGATTTTCCGTTTCTAGAAATGGGGTAAATCGATTTAATTTTGTGAGGTTTGTGAATATTTGTGTTTGGATTTGGAAATTGAAGAAAAAGAATGGAATGGCTGATTTGAGAAGGAAAATATTGGATTTTGATTGAGAAAATTAGGGTATTTGTGTACAGATTTGGAGATGGAAAACATAATTCCACTGTTTTAGATCCAACCAACAACCTCTTTGGATTGTTTTCCAAATCTAATAATTTTGCTTTCGGCCGACAAAATTGAATGTTTGGTGGCTATGAGAAACATGTTTAAGACAAAACTACCTGATTTCAGACCGTGTTTGGGGGCTGCCTTGAAGGAGAGGAATAAATTGGAGTGTTTTTGGGACAAGATTTTTGTATTATTGTAATTCGTTTTTTTATTTTTTATGCAATGGCCTTAATGGATCAAGTAGTTCGCTCCTTCTCTTAGTCTTCTCTTTCTCCTTATTATGTTTTGATTGAGGTTGAAACTATCTCGACCTTCTATTAAGTACCAAATTTCATATTCCTTTAATTTGGAGTATGTTATCTTAAGAGAATCGGGTCAATCAAGTGCTCAAAACTACTTGGGATTGGAGGAATGCGAAATGCATTGTAAACATGGCAGTGGCTCAGCTGATTTTAGCTCTTTTATATGCTCAACGGGAAAGGAGAAGGAAGCAAACTATTTATGCTTTTGACTGTATTACCTGACCTACTATCCTCGTAAATAAGTTCTGGAGCTCAATTGCTCTGAAAATATTTGTTGAAAACCACCACATTTAAATGGTGATGAAAGTTATCTAGTTATAATCATTTACCGAATAGAAAATTATGGTAAATTTCAAATGAATACAATATATTTTCCTTTAATGAAAGGGTAAATATAGTAAGTCGTAATGTAAGACAAATATCTATATTCGCCTTATAATAAACGGTCAAATATCCTTAACACCTTCCGCAAGTTGAGTGTCAAATTTGAACAGACGTGAAGCTTGGATCTGAAAAATTCAAAAAGAGGTCGAGAAACACTTTTTGTGAAGATGTCAACAACTTGAAGATGGGAAGGTACATATTGTGTACGAAATTTGTCAGCGATAACAAGTTATCGAAGCAAATGTTAATCTTAGTTCAACATGTTTGGCTCGCTTGTGAGAAACAGGATTAAAGATAATAAAATAGCACTTTTGTTGTCACATAAGAGCAAGAGCTACTGTGAAATAGGGACCTTGAGGTCATGCAAAAGATGTGTAACCCAAAGAAGTTCAGCTATAGTCGTGACAAGAGCAATATTCAGATTCACAGCTGGAGTGTGAGATAGTAAATTGCTTTATGGCACTCCAAGAAACGAGATATTTACCAAGATAAATAGAATAGTCGGATGTAGAACGACGACTAGCCCGATCAGCATCTGAATAAGCAACTAGCGCACTAGGAACAGTGGATGAACGAAAGGTATCACAAAGTGGAGTGTTCCTTTGACATAGCAAACAATACGTTTGATAGCAAGAAAGTGATATGCAGTAGGAGCATGCAAGAATTGACTAACAGAATTAACAGCATAGGCAATATCTAGACGCGTAATAGTCAAGTACTAAAGGGTGCTAACAAGATATCTACAGAGAGTAGGATAAGAGAAATGAGAACTATCAGCAGTGAGGTGTTGAAAAACAACCATGGGAGTGTGGACTGATTTGCTATCGAGCAATCGAGCACGAGTAAGAATATCTCAAACATATTTTAACTGACTAATAAAGAGACCATCAGGAGTGGGTGAAGCTTCAAGACCAAGAAAGTAACTAAGAAAACCAAAATCTTTGGTAACAAACTCAAAATGAAGCTTGCGAGTAAAGCTGTCAATAAGAGATGAGTTGTTGGCGACAACAATAATGTCATCAACATAAAGAAGCAAATAGATAAGATTAGATTGCTGATGAAAGACAAAAAGGGACGAGTCAACGCGACGGCAAGAAAAATCAAGTGTGAGAAGAAATGAGCTAAAACGCTGAAACTAGGTGTGAGGAGCTTGCTTTAAGCCATAAAGAGCTTTCTTTAATAGATAGACATGAGTGGTAAATCAAGGATCAATATACCCAGGAGGTTGGTCCATATGAACACGTTCAATATGAGTTCCATTGAGAAAAGAATTCTTGACATCAAGTTGTCGAAGAGACCATTTATTTGTGACCGCAATAGAAAGCAAAACACGAACAGTGATAGCTTTGACAATCGAACTGAAAGTGTCAGTGTAGTCAAGACCAGGAACCTAAGTATAACCTTAGGTAACAAGATGAGCCTTGAAACACTCGACGGATCCATCATGCAAATATTTAATACGAAACACCCATTTCGAGCTCACGATGTTGGTGTTGGCAGGGCGAGGAACCAAAGTCCAAGTATTGTTTTGTTGTAAAGTTTGAATTTCTTCACCCAAGCAGGATTCTTAACCGCAGATTTGAATCTTTTTGGCTCAGTGGATGCAAGAAGAGCACAAAGAAGTCCAGATGAGCCCAAAATACCAAGATTTGCTAGATGACGAGTCTTGAATATACCAGTTTTGGCTCGTGTGATCCTATGATGAGAGCCCAAAGAAGGAGAGGAATCAACAGTAGGTTCAATAGAGGTCGAATCAGGAGTCGAGGGTGGCAAAGTGGAACATGCAAGAGAAATATCAACTTGCACAGACTCATCTACAAGGTCAGAGCAAATATCACAAGGAGATGAACTGGATCGAGAAATGTGCGGTGATGAAGTGGTAGGGGAGATGAATCAATATTGTAAAGATGTGGTTCCAAGAAATTTGAAATATGAAGAGAGGAAAGAGGTTGGGTCTGGGAGCTAGGAACAATAGGAAAGTGAAACATCAAATTGAGCTTGGCGGGTGATGTATAGCTTAGTGGTGGAAGATCAAGACAACGAAACTCTTTATGAACAAGACTATAACCCAAAAAATTGCAAGGAATGTTACAAGGAGAAAGCTTGTTAGGCATATAATCACGCAAGCAAGGATAAACACGACAACCAAAGGGATAAAAATTGTCATAATGCAGAGTGGGCATATAATCATAATGCTCGACCAATAGAAAGTCTTCGATTTGCTCCGATTCGATGTAACCTTCCAAAACCACTCTTTGTGTCTTAATGGGTAGTCTTTAAGTTTTATTAATATTAGATAACCTCACGCCAAATATTATTGAATTTCTATAGCTTTTAATTTTAGTTTGTGTTTTTAAGATTTTGGTTTATTTTCTCACCATTTCTATATTATCTTTTTATATAAGTAAATACATGATCCAACTAAACACTCGCCTTTATTAGGTTTTTGCAATATAAAATTTATAAATAAATTAATTATAAAGAATAAACTTGGTTTTTGTGCTTCATGCATTCGATATAGAGTATTTTTTTTTTTAAGGAATAAATTCTATTAAACTTTTATCAAATATTATGATTTAACAACATTAAAATAATAATTTGATAGAACATTTGATTTTTTTAGCTATTATTATTTTCTTGACATTGCATTAATTATATTAAAATAGAGAATTAATATTTTTTTTCATTTACTAGAAAATTTTAAATGACCGAAATTCGTTAATATATGCATGTCTACATATATATATGTATGTAACAACCCAAGATTTCTACTATCTTAAAGTCGCTACTGTCATCCTCATACTCTCTTATGCAGAATTAAACATTTAAAACTTCATCATAAAATATCGTCATGGACTTGCATGTTTGAAAACGTCAAGTAACAGAACGAAATATTAAATAAAACAAATACAACATTAAAAGTAAAAGCACCCTACAAGAACCTACCATCTAAGAAATTAAATACAACTATATTATGCACGTGTCATGGTCTTTACTTGTGATGTCGTCGTCAGCCGTACAAGAGTGTCTTGTCTTCATCTGTAATAGAAGTAACACACGTATCAAATATTTTAACAAATACTCCGTAAATGACCCCACTATTAGGGTCAGAGAATGCAAATACATGTAACTCATGATTAGGAACCTATCGTTCAAACCATCATAGGGGTGACCTCCAGTCTGAACAAAATTGGATGTGTAGTACTTCTCTGCACACAACCCACACGTGCGAGCGTGAAATTTCCAAGTAGTTCGAGCCCCCTGGATCCATCATAGTTGGGCTAGTTATCCGTAGCCGGACGACCGGAGGTTAGCAGACCCCCGTGTGCCATGCGAGACATGGTCGTCATCATCAACATCATAGTTTACACATCCGTACCCACCATTGTAAATGAGAAAGCAACCCGATGTATATGAACACACAAATGCATGAGGTCCTTATAATTTTCATATTTAAATCATCTTTATGACACAACCCTATTCTTTATTCACACATCACACTAGGTAATGAAAATGCATTGGCTTTCATACGTTCCTCATCATAAACATCAATTAGGGTTGTGTCTTGTTCTTGACTCGAGTATTACATGAAACACACTTATTCCTTTTTGTTGGTTTCTAATAGTATGAGCATGCGCTAGCTTATAGCTAAGCTTAGGGAATATATATATTTGTCTAGTGGGTTCAGGTACACAAGCGTGAATTGTATATAGAAAAGTATTATGCATCCAACTCTTGGAAAAGAAAGTATAGCACAAGAAATATTCACAAAAAGTAGGTTTCACTATGAACCATATTGAATGTGATTGCATTTTCTGACACTAACAATGGAGTCACTATGAACCCATGTCAACATTTTTCTAGGTAAAGGTAAGAGCTCTATGTATGGATGATGTTATGAGATAAGGAGTCCATGAAACCAAGAACCTATAACTATTTTTATGAGATAAGGAATCCATGGAACCAAGAACCTATAACTATTTTTCGTTCGCATACAAGTAGACTCTATGTTATGGTAGAAAATGATGTTTTATTTTGAAATAGTGATAGGAGGTGTATTTTTTAACTATGCTATTATTATTTTTCA